GTGTTTTTTTCATAAGTTAGCAGTTTTTTTAAGTTTTGTATTTTTTAATTCAAACCTAAATAGTGTTCAATACGTTTATGTATTTTTAGGTAGTAAGTTAACTCGACATTTTTTTTTAAAAAACACTGCCTCACTTTAGGATAACATTATCCTGTGTTTTAAGGACGTTTTACATACATAAATTTCACATGGACAAACACCCAGATTCGAAACAACTATCTGTGGGTCGCACAAATACTTGTCCCGTGTGGGAATCGAACCCACGACCCCCAACGCTGTAGCCAATACCTTGGTAATTGCGCCACGGAGTCATCAAACGTTACGTTTATTCAATACTACAGTTTCACGTATCAATTTTAGATATTTATGAAACTATTACAGTTTTTTTTTTGCATCCAGTAATAAGTTAATTCTATACAAGTAAATAACTCAATACTCCCGCATTCGAAGCGGTTTGTTGAATATTTTGTAATGCGTACGGCGAGGCAATGGCATAATTTGCCATCGTTCGACCTCTCGCCAGACTGTAATTTGTCTTCGAGGCAAAACTGCATCGGCTGTTTACCGTCACTGGTTTTAAAATTCGCTCCATCATCTCATACCGCTAGTGGAATAGTAGTCAAGCACTGCTGCTCGCTTTTAAAATATATCTTGAGTTTATATATTAGTAGAAAGCCGTGATAGCTCAGTGTCCGGGCGCTCGCCTTTAATTACATTTACTCGAGCAAGCTTAGTTCGATCCCCGGTGCCAGCACGAATGGAATTGTTAATTTTAAGTGCTGAATTATTATCACGTGCTCGGCGGTGAAGTAAAACATCTTGAGGAAACCTGCATATTTTCGAAGTAATAATAAAACAAAATGGTTCGAAAATATGTTTTTTTTATGTGAAAAAAAAATGTGAATTCTGGCAATCCCCAGTGGGGCTGCGTGATGGACTATGCCTTGATACCCTCTGTACAGAGTAGGCCTTTGCCCAGCAGTGGGACATGTACCTATAGGCTATTACTTTACTTTTTTATATAGCACTGAGATCTTGCCTCATTGTCGATATTTTGTACACAAATCAAAATAACAGCGCTGTTACGAGTTCAATAGGGCATGGTCCGTCGTGGATCCCCACAGGGGACTGACAGAATTCACATATGTTCACAAAACGTATATGTACGTCTTTTATCAATTATTACATAAGTTTCAGAGGTTTCCCTCACTAATCCAGATATATATCCCTAATAGTCCCTGATCCCTACTTAATAACATTACAAATGTGTATGTAAGTTTGTTTGTTACTTTCCCTTGTTATTTGCATGCCAAAACTACTCAACCGATTGTCATGAAACTTTTCTTTTCATATTTTTAGAGGTAGGTATTAAAAAGGACATTGGATTATTTTTATGAAAAATAAAAAATAAAAAAGGATATATATTTAAAATTATCATCAATGTTAAAATGAAACATTGTACGTATTTACGCGTTTATTTTTTATTTTAGTTACCGGCGTTTCCCAGCGTTCACTGGACAGCCTAAGGCGTTGAATGTCTGAATACCGGCTACCGTCAGTTTTCAGTCAATAATTTTCTCTCAATATACATAGATGGTGCTAATTGTATCTTGTCTTGCAATAGTGGATCGGTTGGGCCTAGATTCAATTTCATGGGAACCCCCAAGCTATTAAGCCCCCTCTATTTAAATAAGGGTATTTTTTAATTTCAATAGCCTCTCGCGAATCATCAATCATATAGGAGGGATCTTTTGTTAAGATTTAGTCTATCAAAACTGAAGTAGGAGTTGGGGCGATATAAGGTGTGCTTTTACAGAGTGCATACTTTTTTGAGCACTATTAAAATTATAGATGTTTCCAGCTATATTTTCAATTAAAATAATATTAAACATGTAAGGCGCAGTTTCAAAGTTTTTTTTATATGGGAAAAGGAGGCAAACGTGCATGTGGGTCACCTGATGGTAAGTGATCACCGCCACCCATGGACGTTTGCAACATCGGTTACAATCTACTTAGGGTTTTGAAGACTAGTATTTGTTCGATGATAATTGCTTACAGATATGTCCCTTATACAACGTGTATTTATAAAACGTAGTGGGGCAAGTGATTTTCGATTTGTAACAACAATTTACAAATTGAAACAAAAAGTTAATTTGAACTTAAAATGCAACTTAAACATAAATACATAGTCATAAAACTTTTATAGTTATAGTGATTATAATATTTACTTCATGACTTTGGTCATTTTTTCATTGAAAACAGTTGTAAATAAAAACATGAAAATAAACAATTCAAAAGCGATAATGCATAAAGAGATGGGATAAATTTTATTTGTTTATGTAGGGTATTTGTTGAATACTATACAACGAATACACAAACAAATATAAAATTATTTTGCAATTTCACTACCTCTTTCTACACACAGTCCACAGGAGTTAGGTTACATTTTAGATTTAACTTGATGTAAAGTTCATTTGTAAAGGTCACAAAGCATATGAATGGGTTGAATGAATTTAAAAGAGACAAAACATACTGTTAGGAGAGGCTTGTAATGCGACGCTGTGACGCGGGTTGTGATACAAATTTTGTTTCTTTTTTACTTAATTAATTTGTTTGAAAAATATTTTTTTTTAATTATGGATTTTGTTTAACGTTAATATTTTTTTATGATTATTGGCAAGTAGCGTTAGACGTGTGTTCATTTATTGTCGCGATGGTAACGACACGCTGTATAATAATACAAACTGAAAGATGCAACTTATCATCTACTTGTCTTTTTGATTATACGCGAATATTATACATATTAAATGAAACTAGTTTACGGATTTTTTAAATTTTTGTTATTTTTTTAATTGAAATGCAACAAAATCCGTAAGCTTGTTTCTTTTAATATTTATCACTTACTTAAAATTAGAGCTAGATTATTAAAATCTATGAAACGAATAACAATTGTCGTACTGACTGCCCATTTGTGCAACAGTGAACACAGACTGTTGCGTACATAGTAAACAATAAAGAAAGCAATGGCGAATTCTAAACACAAAATCATCTTAAACAGAAGACCCAAACAATATAAATCTGTAAATATGCCGCTGTTATTCAAGAGATATTTTGTTTTTTTGTCGGAAGTCAGCAAGCCAACGACCTAGTGACAGAGGCGTTGCTAAAGAATCGGGCCCATGTTACCTCACTCACCCATAACTCTTCCAATCCGCGCCGATCACCAGTGTAGTCGTTTCTCGAACGAGCCCATCCATTCGTGCATTTTTACAAATTGTGCGTACGTCCGTGAACGTAACTATTACTCACGTATGCTTAACAAAACGGAATCGGCAATTAGCATACGTTTTGTTTTGCGGCCATTATATGCGTCACGCCAAGTAACGAATCGTCGGTGAAAATCGTCGTTACGTCAGACGCGTCTCCGCTTTCTTTTATATCGAGATCGATGAACCTTAAAAATCAGAGAAATGTTCTTTACATTCGTGTAGGTAGGATTAAAGCACCTACAGATTCAGCACGAAACTTGTGTATTATTTTTTCTATACATATAGTTTTTCTCAGCATAATGCATATAAGAAAACTCGGTGATGACTCCGTGGCGTTATTGCCAAGATATTGGCTTCGGCGTCGGGGGTCGTGGGTTCGATTCCCACACGGGACAACTATATGTGTGGCCCACAGATAGTTGTTTCGCATGTGGGTGTTTTTCCGCGTGAAATTTATGTTTGTAAAATGTCCTTACAACACAGGATAATGTTATCCTAAAGTAAGGGCAATGTTTTAAAAAAAAGAGATAAAAAAAAAGAAACACCTTCACGTCTTTAAACACGGTTTAATGACCTGTACACTATACACATAAACCATTTTCATTGCATAAATATTAAGCATTCAAGTAAATATGACAACAGCCTCTGTTTCTTAAGCATAGTTGTTATATTTGTCTTGGTTTTGTAACTCATTGTGTTTTTAAAAACAATTGATAGTTCGGAAATAAGACTATTTTTTACTTTTTATAAAACAAACAATTTTATTTTAACATCCGTTTACGTATATTTTATTATAAAAATTAAGAGATAAGCAAGAAATAAATGTTGTAGTGTTACAGAATAGACAAGATTTGAAAACTTTACGTAAAGAGATCAACATCACCGTAGAAATAATCTTGGTCTCATGTAACGCATGATCGAAGTTTAATATCGACGTTACAGCAACTTTATTAAGTAAAATCTGCGCTATAAATAATTTGTCGCCGATAAAACCTCCACGTCGTGCCGTGAACCATTCTCTAATACTCGAAACCTTTCAAATCCAAATTATAGGCAAAAAAAAAACATAAATAGTACCTATAACCAACGTAATTTTTAACGAGCAGTGTTAAGAATACAGAAGTATTTTTTTTTAATTTATTTTAAGCAACCATCGTTACGGGACAGACAGACTATTTACATCCCAATATAACTAAGTATTACGTAACTCAGATTGCTGTTGAATGCACTTATGTAAGCAATTGAAAACTGAATGTATGTAATCCGGAGTAATTATAGTATGGTGTTAAACATCTTAGTAATTCCTATAACAATAACTAAATTCGTTTTTATTTATGGTGACACAATTAGCCTATATTAAGTGCATAACTCTCCTAAAAATATTCTGTGATGATCACAGTGGTTTTCTTATCAATAGTGTCTAGGTTATGCATCAGTAACATTTATTTATTTAAAAAAAATGTTTATTATTGATTTCTTGTATGAAAATATTACTATTTATACAATTAATATTACGCGAATATTATACATGGTTTAATGAAACTGTGTTCATGATCACAGGACAGAGTGAATTTAAAAATTAAATTAAAACTATAAAATTGGTAAAATAGTTTCATTAAAAATATTTATTAGTTGCCCATCAAGTAACTGATGCACATTTTTGCTGTGGTTATTATTAGGTTTTTTGTTATTGGTGAAAATATTATTTAATGTTATGCGTACCTAACCATAATGCTGGCTTTGCTTTGTTTTGGACAGAGTGGTATATTATTTAATAACGCGCAGCATAATTACCGTGGACCGTTAATATAACAAACCGCTATGTCCATCTACTTCGCATTAACTTCAAGATGATACAAAATTTTCTTTGGTTCTGCCAACCATGAAACACAAACAACAACAAACTTACAAAAAGTAGACATCGCATAATCGCGCGAAGACGACGCGACACATCCCTAATGCGTCATACCCGCCGCCTGTCAATTTTAAAGCCATCCTCAGCGCGGAGACAGAATATTATGTAAATTTTTAATTTACGACCGAGCGGTTTCGAAACAAAAAGCACAAATTAAATCGATGTTATTCAAAACGGTTTGACGGAGATTTTATTAACACGATTCATCGTTCAGTGGTTTTCAAAAATGTACATGGCATTATTACTTTAGTTTCGTATTTATTTTTGTACAAGATCTCTTCATTCTGTTAATTAAATGACATTGTTATCAATTTTGCCTCTGTACAGCCTATAAAACGTATAATTTTATTTAATTAAATATCTTAATTCCGATTCAATTTACATGAATTCATTTTAATTCTTATTTCAAAATCACGCTATTGCATTGAAAATAACTACTAAATGTATCAATGATGAATTAATCTATATGTGGCATTGGATTGACATATTTTTCTTGAATGTTCTTTATTTCATAGATGTCAATACTAGTGTTGGTTCACTCCTTTCCACACATGTTTAACACAACACAAGTACAGGTTTGCTAAAAGGAAGTTATGCATCACTAAATAATTAATCGCGTTGCAATTAAACGATATCTGTCAGCGCACAGCAATTATTATCGTTACAGATGAAACAAAGTAACTAGACCCCCTCTTATTACCTCTCGCCATCCGCTTTCCCCTCAATTGGACGAGGTTAAGTGCAATGTCAGATGTCGGATTATAGTGGCCGGCGCGCAGCGCACATGTATGAATGCAAACACATGTATAAATAGTTCGGCGCGTGGTTAGTACGTATCTATGACTTGGCACTATCGCGTACTCAAACATTCACACGCTGCAATTACCGCACCATAGCGGAACGACTTACGTATCCCCATCTGTTCATTCAAAATTGCACTGTAATACCAGCGCGCTAAAAACATTTTCGTCTGCCAGCATGCTTCAGGAACTGGTGAGCGTGTTGAGAAAATAGACACGTCGATAGCGTTATTACGTTAAAGATTTAAATACGTATCGTGCGACGACTTTGTAGGCGACTCGTTGCTATCCGATCGTGCGTTTTATAGCTCATTACTTCCTTATTTCGCCGATATTAATAACTGCAAACACCCTACGCACAGTTACGCATGTGACAGTTCGCATTTTGCGTTCGTATTGTATCTACAGAATGCTTTAATATTAATTTTCGTAAAGTCTCTTAAAGTAGTCTCTCAAAATTCTCTTAAAGTAGTCTAGTATAAAATGTCATCGTTTCGAAAAACACTTGAAAATAATCTTGCCACATATTCTGTATTTCATTTTATAGATCTCGAATCGTGCGTTGCAAGTTATTGAATTATTTTTCTTCTATTCCACACAATTATAATGCAATTCTAACGCCCTGTATTCAGTATAATCTGGTAAATACAATCCGTAGTGATTTATTAGCTGAGACATTTTTAGTTTCAATAAATTATTATTATTTATTTTTAATCAATTTTTAATGATGATGATGAAGCCCTGTAACAAAAGCTCTTTAAAGATTTAAAAATATATAATATAATACAAACCGCATCTAAATTCTAACCATTGAAATAAATAAACGATCACTCCGTGGCGCAGTTGCCAAGGTATTGGCTTCGGCGTCGGGGGTCGTGGGTTCGATCCCCACACGGGACAATTATTTGTGTGACCCAAGTTAGTCGTTTCGCATCTGGATGTCTGTCCGCGTGTAATTTATGTTTGTAAAACTTCCATACAACACAGGATATTGTTATCCTAAAGTAAGGGCAATGATTAAAAAAAAAACTAGGACTTTTTCTGACGAGTCGAGTTTATATATTTCCGTTATCCTTCGTCATATATACATAAAAATATGTATATAAATTATAACCTATGTCTTATTCTGATGTATAAGCTATATTATTGTAAAGTTTCATAAAAATCCATTCAGTAGTATTTTCGTGAAAGAGTAACAAACATCAATCCATATATACAAACTTTCGCGTTTATAATATTAGTAAGGATTAGTAATATTGAATATTAATAAGGATTAGTTATTAAAAAGAAATATGTTCTCCTAATTACCATTGATTTTGCATTTGAGCTAGTAACATTTAAAAGTGGTTAGTGTTGTCCGTTTATTACATTCACGGCACGGAAATTAAATTAAAATGCTTCTATAACTTTAGCACAATCAACAGTCTTCGCGGTTAGTCCATGATAATTGCCGCTAAGGGAATATTTATGCCACAGCAAAAGTTGCATGACTCTTTCACAACATAATTCAATTACTTCATTGTGTCAGTTTAGAATTGAGTACTGTATTCAATAACTAATAACCACGATAAGAAATTGAAACAGCGCTTATACAAACTTGCAAAACCTACGATGTCGCAGTTTTCTATTATCTAGCCGTTTTACTTTAACCACGATGACTTTTTTTAAATCTTTTTTGTTCCGACACCTTCTGATACAAGACATCCGATTATGTGAAATCCGTCAGATTTAAATGATAAGCTATTAAAATCTCTTGATGAATGTAATTAGTGTAATGGTTTCGCTTGAATTGCGTGTTTATCGCGATATCCTTAATGGTCACTTAAGACGATTTATTTCTTTTCTGTTTCTATTAAGTCCAGTTAGTTGCAAATTTGTTGTAAAGTAGTTTTCACAACGTTTTTCTCAAAAAATATAATGAATCAGATAATAATATTAGAACTAAATGGCCGTTTAACGGATAACAAGACCATACTTCCAGCGCAGGAAATGTTATGAACTTACAACTTCGAAAATTAATGTGCACCACGCAGCTTCTCTCACGTGGCGGAATCCAGTCTTAAATTTCAAGGATTTGGATGATCCAAAAGTAATTGTATTGAATAGAAACAAAGGTGACTTAAAACATTTTTCCGACTAGTACGTTACTAGATGTAATGTCTAAATTTTTCTTAATAAACGGATGCCAAAACCGTCCCTGCAAAAGTTAACACAATTTATTCGGCGTTGGCCCTGGTCATCGATTGCTGTTTGATTTTCGGGTCAAAATGGTGGATCCAAGTCTCGTTATGGTCAAATATACGTGACAAAAACTTTTCTGATGTGCCTCGAACTTTTCGAGATTCAACCTTCAATATCGACTCGTTTCTTCTTTTGCCCGTCGCTTAACATTTTTGGCACCCCATGCGCTGAGGGAGACCTTCTTCATATGTAATTTATTTAATATGATTCCTCTACTTCTTCATATGTAATAATTCATTTATTTAATCCTTGTCAAGGAATTCCTTGATAAGGATTAAACACTGCCCTCCGAGACCCTCCGAAACCCTTCGATCTTAGCTACATTCCTGTTGGTTACACTTCGATGTACCAACAAAACATCGTCGATCATTATTCTTTATTCACGTCGTCTTCAGTGCGGGACGTGGAAAGAGGAAAGAAAGAAAGAAAGAAATGTTTATTTGGTACAAAAACAGCATCTTGTTCTTCCCACCTTAAACTCTTCTCTTGCCCAGTGAACAACGGCGAAATATGGGGAAGCAGAATCCCCCATGTTTCCACCATTGTAGTCTTTCGTAGATTTTTTTTCAAACTTAGATATCTAATGGTAGCTATTTCGTCTTTATCCTTTTCGATTTCTTCTCCTCGACGGTTTGTATTCAAACGCATTTATCTCCGTAGAATCGTGGTCATTTTATATATATTTTAAGTTGGATATAAGGTAATATTTTTTATGAAATTTTATGCGGCCGAAAAATAATGGGTTACCATTACTTTTCGATCACCTCTCGTACAAGAAGTTTTGTTTTTGTTAATAAAAGGCTGTTTTTTTTTACATATCACACCTTATTGGCGTTGCGTGGCGCAGCTTGAGCAACATCAAAAATTAACTTTTTTTTTGATGTCGGTAATCGAATATTTCAAGGGCACCTAAATGTTGCGTGCCATTAAATAAATTTAAAACCAAGAACCGAACACGAATTGTCCATACGAAAATCTTGGGGGCTGTTATAGATGTACGTTGCAAGGTTGGTTCAAAGGGAAATTGGGCACCCACGCGACATCACTGCGGATTCACGGACTAGACGTATCTTCTAAATATTTTTTTGTTATTATTTCGAAAATATGCAGGTTTCGTCGACGTGATAATTCACCACTGTTAATTAACAATTTCACTGGTGCACACCGAGGATCGAACTCAGTTTGCTCAAGTGTATCGAATTAAAAGTGATCGAGTAATAGAAATGAATAAGCGAGTACAAAGCTGTCGCGACAAGTCGCCCACAGCAGCTCTGGCTAGCTAACGCTCGGTCGGTTCGCAGCGCATTGGGTGGTGCACCAGTGGCGGCTGTACGAGCGCTCGCTGTGCTCGCTCCTCGAGCTGCAGGCGCGCAAGGGCGCCTACTGCTGCTCGCCGCGGTATGTCCTCGCGCCCGAGTACGGGCCCCACCTGCTGCCGCTGCAGCTGACGACGCAGCGCCACTCGCCGCCGCCCGCCCACTTGTAGCGCTGCGACCGCGCCCCGATACCGGTGAGTGACACCAGTACCGACCTTGAAGTGACCTTGTAGCTGTTATCCATCACGAGTGACACCCCTTACAGTTTAAGCAGTTGGAGGTGCATCCCCAAGGTACCCGGCTGAGTTATGCCCACGCGTGTCTCCAATAAATAAGGTCTATCCTGTAGATGTTAAATTTAATAATTAAAATAATTTTGGTTCTTAATTAATCAAAAAGATAGCTTAGCAAGAAGATCAGCGCTTTTTTGTCGGAGTTATATTTTTCTTTGAATGTACAAAGGTGGCAAGCGTATCGGTGGTTCACATATTATGGTAAGTGAATATCGCCACCAATTGACATCTAAAATACCCGAGAGATTACAGATGTATTGCCATATCATTAAAGTGTTGCTCCCGGTTCCACTTCACGCTTTATTACCGGCTGTGGTTCTTTAGGACGAGCTTGCCCTCTCTCTCTCTCTCCTCTCTGTCCAGTGTACAGGGTGTTGTTTAAATAAGAGTTATCATATTTTTTTCTCGTATGTTCGTATTTTTATAGTTATATGTTTCGTAAGTAACCCGAAAACAACACATTTTCTGTTACTTAAAAAAAACTGTATAAGTGATTTTAGCAACAATTGACCATAGCAACTATTGCAAGGTTATTATGTATTTAGCTTCATAAGTTGAAGTTAAATATTTATTGTGTTTTAATTATCTTTAGTTATCTTGTGGTTATTTAACTGGCTTATTGTGTTTTATTACAGTGTATTCATTGAGTTGGTAAGAGCATGTGATTGTTAGCACGATTGCCATCTATTGTAATGTCATCATTCTGATTTATTGATCCCTTTGTATGACCCTAAGTCTATTCTGCGTGCACTTTGATTGCGTAAATTAAAGAAAGTTATTAAAGTGGTAATAGCTGTATGTGAAACTTGTAATAAAACTTGTTTTAAGTCAATATTTTTATTTACATTAAAACTATATCATCAACAAATTAGTCTGTTTTACTTATTTATTTTCGCCATTACCGTGTATAGTTTTTGCGTAATTGCTCGACTTGAAAGAGTGGTACGACCACAATTCGGATTTAATCTCAGAGATGTCTCGCGAAGAAGTTTAATTTATTTGTTACGGCATCATTTATGTCAAACGGAACATTAGGTTGGCAGGTAAGATCGAACCTTTTATTCACACTATAAAAACAAATCAAATAAAAATTACGAAATTTCGGTAGCTTAAAATTTCAATTTTATGCGACATGTGAGTAGTATAGTAGTGATTAAATTGAATCGAATTGTGACTTAATCCACTTCCATACTCAAGCTGGAACTAACATTTAGATCTCTTATTATTATCACAGTATGAATTTACTTCTTTTCTGTGGTATTATCGTACTTGACATTTATAAACGATTTAAACAAACGTAAATTTAATAATACTATTTAACTTTCACTTTGCTTTTTACCACGCCCATTGCACGGTGTATTACTTTATAATTTACGAATAATGCAGTCCTCGTATAGGTCCCCTATAAAAATAGGATTCTTGATTGAGACACATTCCATGAACCCTTGTATATTGTCAATTTAGAATCTGGCGCTGGTACACTGAGCTACCGTGTTTCCATTTAATGAAAATAATTTAAATGTGTAAAGTTAAATAATTTCCAGCGTCATGTCAAGAAAAACCTTCATAAATACTACATACAGGTTCGGGAAATTAATTTAATACTATATTTACCTATATTTTTATCGATTCTTCAAACTTTTCGCGTATACTTGTAACGATGATACATTAGGATCCATCTAGATCTAGACATTAAGATATCTCGTGTTAAACTAGTTGAGTTGTCTTAGCTATAGCTAAGCTTAAGTTATAACGAACAAATTCTAGCTTACTGCCAATACATAGAAGTGATCTCTCAACTTACTTCCATATTTATCCGTTTTGCCTCGCACGTTTCCACTAGTATCATGTAAGCTATACATCTCAAGAAGTAATTTCATTTGATCGTAGCTCTCAAAGCTGCTTGCCGCTATTTCAATAATAACAAAGCGACATTTACTATTCAACATTTTCTCAAAGCGTTCGCCACTTACCTGCCAGAATATATACCGTCCGCTGTATCTTAACGACGCCATCAATTCTGCGAAGAGCCAGAATGATAGGTTATAAAGTCTTTCTAGTGATAACTATAAAGCGAAACGCAGCACTGTAAACACCAGTTTCGTCCAACGTTATTACCTATAAAGGAGTGCAAATAATTCCGTATATTGCGTATCGGGTCTAAACGCGGCAACTCTTGTTAACGGCGTTTGACGGCTCCGCTGAGTCAACGCCGTGCCTTAATTATTTATTCGCTGCCTAAAAATAACATATATCCTTGTGAAAGTTTAACGAAAAATAACTATGCGTGTACTTATGCACGTATGAAGTTATACTTTATCGTGACAAAAGTGTAATAACTAAAAACTTTATTATTGCATTAAATGTTTTTTTCACAAAAAAAACATTTAATACAATTGATAACTGTTGTAATTAAATAACTTGGAATTATATGTAAATGTCAAAAAGTACTTATTGGTTGCCATGGTAATATCTTGAAGCTGGTCGAAGTTGGTCGCTTTGGAACAACTTTATCGTGCAGCTGTCGGTTTGCGCGTGCATCGTAAAAATTGTACTCTCATAATTTTTTCCAAATGCGCCAAAAGAAGTATAACTTCAAAAATCAAGAGAATTATAACTTTGATTTGATTCAATCAGCGTATCTTGTATTAACTGATGTTTGTGCTTTCAGTCCCGAGGCTATTAAAGCTTCATCTGATGCAGAACCGGTGGGCTAGCCAGAACCCACGGGTTTGGGTCAATCAGTGTGTCGAAGTGCTTCGAGTCGATCTGACGCAATCGCCGTACGGAAGCGCGTAATAGCAATAAATCACTGCCTTGGACATTTTCCGACAGGGTCAAAAGGCGGTATGTGTCAAGCTCGACTCATTTGACACAAAGCGCGGCCTTCGTAGTAAACTCGATTGAATTGATGCGTAAGACGTTTTTCAAGATAAAGTATATCGTGTAAACGATTTCGATTGATTTTTAGATGACAAACGAGTTTCCTATTGTATTTCATTTATAATACTCGCATCTAGAGGCGATTTTCGTCGGGAGTCGTAGGGGTTGATAAAAATCAATACAAAGATTTAATGCTCTTTGAATTGTCCTTCTGTCTGATTATACCTTTGGCCATTATTGAGTGATGAGTGCAAAACTAAATGGAAATTTAGTTTTGTTTTTGAGTTCATCTGGCTTTCTAAAGCTACACCACCGCATGCCAAACACGAGCACTCTACTCTCCGATAGTATCTACTAGCTCACTTAGCCCACAGTAGTCAACCGTACTATCCGGGTGTGGTCGCAAGTGCAGCTTGTCTAACCATTGGTGTAGGCACCAAATACGGGCCCTGGACCCTTTGAATGATAAAGCTTGCAAAGACTCCAAAACGTTAAGCGACATAATTAGATTTACGCATTCACTACGAAACTTTACACAGGCTCCGGCCTAAAATTATAACCTCATCTATAATAAGAATACGTAAGCTGAATTATCATCCGGTAAGGGTCAAATTAAGTATATTTCCTCTTGTTCGTAGCTTAAACTTACATCTTAGTAGCTTCATCCGTAGGTTGTGACACGGAAAAACAGTACATATAGTAAAGGAGGTACGATATTTTATGAACACGGTCCCAATTGTTTTCTAAGTAATATTTTTATTTGTTGATTACACGGTTGGCGCAGTGGATAAGCGAATGACTTCAGCGCCGTGTGTTGTCGGTTCGTTTTTCACCCAGAACAAGTATAACCAACTGATAATTTTTAATTTGTTTTGTATAACGCCTTCTTAATCCGTGATTATTTATGTAATATTACTCTTTTAAAGAAAATTATATGTCTAATAGCGGTACCCAAAAAAACTAGTACAAATTGATCGTGTATTTAGGCATCAGATTCAGTGTGTCGGCTCTTACTGCGCCAGCAACTTGAAGAAGATTGCGGGTACTAAAAACTTAATGGCTGTGGTGTCGGCAGTTAAATTTTTCTCCCTACTTTAGCACTACAGTGCGTAAATAGTTATAAATTTTGTATTTATTTTATAGAAGTAATTTCTATTTACAAACAGTATTATTAAATATTCTGGCAATGTTTACTTACATTTTCATTTCTTTCATAATAATACGAATAATTCTAGAGTTCTAAAGTCATGATTATATATCTCTAGCCATGGTTACATATTTCTTACAAACGTCACCAAATATTATTTCTATTTCAACCACCTATTTAACAAAATCAGTGAGGGCAACGTCGAATTTATCTTTGGTAATTTTCTTCCATTCGAAATCGAAGTTTCCTTAAAAACTAATTAAAACTATTCAAATTTCGAATTTCGTTTTTTCAAATTTCGTTCCGATTGTAAAGCGCCTTTATACGTTAGACTGTTACATGTAGTACTTAGAAATAATCTGAACACTATATATAAGGGGGCCGTGAATAAGGTGAGTGATACGCAGCCGCTAGTACACAATACACATTGCCCATTTCCTACCTACCCGGCTTCCTAGCAGAACGTCGTACACGCCGCCATAATAAAACTACCGGTGCAATAATACCCATCTCGCACTTTCACGCGCGTAAGGCTGAGAGTGAAAGAGACGGGGAAATTTATAGCGGCCCGCCATTTTTCCCCCCAACAAAAAGTTTACAGCGCGCCACTCGTAAACTATGAACAGTCTCGCGTCAAGGAAACTTTAAAGGCGATTTGTACTTTATATTTTATTTTATTAAAAACTTCTACCGCTCCAATCTGGTAGCAGCCGATCTTGTTATAAACTCGATATGGATATGATCAAATCTTGGCCATAAATTAAATGTTTCTGAGGACAATATTTTTTTATATGGAACTGACCAGCGCTTGATTGCCCTCCCACCTGATGTTCTTAATAGGATT